TTTTGTGCATTCTATAGATATTTGGGGTGACAGTGATCATAGGTTTACTCTGGGTGTGGATTTTATTACACACTGTTTAGATGCGTTTACAAGCACCCAGCATTTTTTTTTTTTTTTTTTCTGCCAAAACTCTGCTGCTCATGGACGCACTGGCAGTGAATTTTTTTTTTCTTGCCTCTAAAAGCACCTAAAACTAAACGCTGCTAAAATGTCTATGTGTGCATTTACACATAGGCAACATGCAGGGGAGTTTAGAGGCAGGAAAAAAAAACGCCGGACACCTGTGTGCATACGGCCTGAATGTTATGCATGTTGTCATTTTGTTTTCATTTTCTTGTAAGTAAAAATACTTAACAATATTGTTAAAAGCAACTCCTAGCCAGGTGGTTGTTTGTAACAGTTTGCACTGCAATTACTGCCATTGCTGAAGTGCATTTTCTAGTCTGTCCACAAGATGCCACTATGACAACATAAAAAAGAAATTTCTGCATGTCAAGATTTTAAACTTGCTCTAAGAAAGTCACCCACGGGTGATGCATTAATAAATAAACAATAGCTACCTATAGTTATATGTCATCTAAAGTCACCCAGTATATAATAGAAAAAAAATTATCATTATAGCATAAACTAGTGGTAGATATGTGAGTGGGGAGTGAAGCATGTGATTACCCTCTAGGACAGTAATCTCCAAACTGCGGCCCCTTCCTTGCTTTTATCTTGGACATTATTCCCCCCACTGTCAGCAATAGTGGGGCATAGTTCTTGCCACTGACACCAACAATAGGGCACTATTCCTCTCATTGACGCTGATGGGTTGCAATTTGTCCATCTAATACCAAAGATGGGGCACTATTCCTCTTACTGACATCAATGATGGGGCACTATTCTTCCCAGTGACACCGTTGGGTCACTATTCGTCCTATACCAAAGATGGGGAACTATTTCTCCCACTGACACTAACAATGGGGCACTCTTCCTCTCATTGACACTGATGGGTCACAATTCGTCCCTCTAATACCAAAGATGGGGCGCTATTCCTCTCACTGACACCAATGATGGGGCACTATTCCTCTCACTGACACCATTGGGTCACTATTAGTCCCTCTTATACCAACGATTGAGAACTATTCCTCCCACTGACACCACTGATGGGGCACTATTTCTCTCACTGACACCATTGGGTCACTATTCGTCCCTCTTATACCAAAGATGGGGAACTATTCCTCCCACTGACACCAACGATGGGGCACTATTTCTCTCACTGACACCGTTGGGTCACTATTCGTCCCTCCTATACCAAAGATGGGGAACTATTCCTCTCACTGGTACCAATGATGGGGCACTATTCCTCTCACTGACACCGTTGGGTCACTATTCATCTCTCTTATACCAAAGACGCGGAACTATTCCTCCCACTGACACCAACGATGGGGCACTATTTCTCTCACTGACACCGTTGGGTCACTATTCATCCCTCCTATACCAAATATGGGGAACTATTTCTCCCACTGACACCAACAGTGGGGTACTATTCCAGTTTAGACAGTTCGGAGACCCCTGCTCTTGGAGACCAAAGATGGCTTTAATTTTTATGGGGTATTTGAAAGTGGGAACATTGCTTGCTTTTATTAGATCTTTTTTATGGTAATTTATCGTTAGCCTTTCTGTTCCTTTTGCTTATTGCAAGCTTGTCAGCCAGGCGTTACTGACTAGAAACAATACATTGTCTATGCTGCAGAGATTTTTTTCTAGCAGTTGTTGGTCAGGGAGTAGTTGTATTGAAATATACACAGCCACTCAATGGAGAATAGAATCTACAAATCTGTATGTATTCAATTATTGAAAACATGGTTTAGCTGTTGTTTGCTGGGAAGATGCCCTTGCAGTTCTTGGAAAGCGTGTTACATCTCTCTTTCCTCCTTCTGGATTGCTTAGCTTACCTGTGTCAGGGTGCAATCCTCTGCCACCCACTGAACTCTAACTCTTCTGCACTATATTAGGTAGCACAATGGACATAAACAGTGCTGAAAAGGAAAGGTCCAACTGCAATGGGGACATCTCAATGTACATTGTTAGTGAGAAATTTGCCTCTTTAGGCAACTTTACCCTTGGCCCACACTAGTGCGGTTTTGCAGGCCATTGTACCGTAGCCCATTATTTTGAATTGGCTGGCATTCCTTACAAGGAAAGGGTCCTTGCACCTTTCCAGAAGTCGCAGCCTGAAGTGCGAACTGCACTACAGTGTTAAGTTTAATGGCACCAGCCCACAGGTCCTGCATTTTGTGTGTGGGTGGTTGCTGCTGAAGGATGAAGTGCGGGTCCTGCAGTGTCTTCCACCCACACTAGTGTGAACCGAGCCATAGAGATCATGTATATTCTGATAGAGAGTAAGACTAACACTAGTGCGGGTGGAAGTCGCTGCGAGACCTGCACTTCGTCCCGCAGCTGCACCCAAAAAGTGGGACCCTCGGGCAGATGCCAATAAATATAATGGCATGCTGCCTGCACTGTAAATTGTACCCACACTATTATTATTATTATACAGGATTTATATAGCGCCAACAGTTTTCTCAGCACTTTAAAATATAATGGTAGACAATACAGCAACAATACAGTTCAATACAAGAGGGTTAGAGTGCCCTGCTCCTTGGAGCTTACAATTTAGGAGGGAGGGGCTAGTGGTTCAAAAGGTAGTAACTGTTGGGGATGGACTGGTAGGAGGAATAGAAGATTCCATTATTAGCTGAGGGCAGGATAGGCTTCCCTGAAGAGATAGGTTTTCAGAGATTGCCTAAAAGTGAGCAGAGTAGGCGATAGTCTGACAAATTGGGGTAGAGAGTTCCAGAGGATGGGGAAGCTCTGGAGAAGTCCTGGAGACGAGCATGGGAGGAGGAGACAAGGGAGCTAGAGAGCAGGAGGTTGTGCGAGGAGGGGAGAGTACGGTTTGGGTGATATTTGGAGACAAGATTGGTGATGTAATTTGGGGCAGAGTTATAAATAGCTTTACATGTTAATGTTTTGAATTTTATCCATTGGGCAATGGGAAGCCAGTGGAGGGATTGGCAGATAGGGGTGGCAGATACAGAACGGTTAGTAAGGTAGATGAGTCTGGCAGCAGCATTCATGATAGACTGAAGAGGGGATAGCCTGTGATGAGGTAGGCCTATGAGGAGGGAGTTACAATAGTCAAGGCGAGAAATAACCAGGGAGTAAATAAGTGGCTTAGTAGTTTCAGAGGTTAAGAACAGTCGTATCTTGGAGATGTTGTGGAGGGGAAGTCTACAAGACAGTAATTGGATTTGGGGCTGAAAGGACGGAAGGGAGTCTAGGATTACACCTAACCCTCTGGCATGAGGGTAGGGACTGATGGTTTTATTATTGATCTTGATGGAGAAGTCAGGGGAGGGGGCACAGGCTGGAGGGAATAGTATGAGCTCAGTTTTGGAAAGATTTAGTTTGAGGAACTGGATGAAGTGAGGAAGTATATTTCAATACAACTACCCAGTGCTGGCTGCGATTTATTGAAAGGTCCAGAGACCTTGCTGACGCCCACAAAACCGCACTAGGGTGAACCAAGTGTCAGTAATATTTATATATTAAAGACATGTTATGTCTTTTTCACTAAAAACTAGCTAAAGTAATTGATCATTGTTTCATGAATTTTAATTAAACTCTTTCATACATCAATAATAATAATCCAAGAAAAAAGTTTGAAAGATATACAATGCAACATCCAAGGAGTACATCCTGGCAAAATATATTCAATTTATAAATGTATATGCAAAATTAAAAGAAAACTGTCCAGTTGTTATTGTAAATTATGCTAAACTGAGATGAATAATCAACTCTATGTACTGCTGGCCAGTTTTAAATTTGTCTAGGAACACACACATACGATTCAAACATACGCAATAAAAACAAGTGCCAAAACAATAGAAACTTGTGATTAAAACAGAACTTAATCTTTGGTTCATCATGCTAGATTTTTCTCCAACTTCAGCTAGGTGAGAGCATAGTTCCTCAATGTGTGACATCTAGGGGGAGATTTACTCAAACTAGAGCCCCCAGAATCTGGTGCAGCTATGTATGGTGGCCAATTAGCTTCTAACTTCAGCTTGTTCAATTGAGTTTTGACAATAAAACCTGGAAGCTGATTGCTTTCTATGCAGAGCTATATCAGATTTTTCACTCTCCAGTTTTAGTAAATAACCCTCCAACTGCCAAAAACAGAGGAGGAAGCATAATGATCTAGGGTTCTTGTGCTGGAACTGGTGATTTGCACAGAGTGTCATGAATCAAAAGGCTTCCTACAGCATTTTTTAATGCCATGCAATGGTCTCAGGTCTACAGCTACAGTAGTTGGTCATGATGCATTGCAAATGAGTTACTGTTGCTAAAATATATTCATGCAGGCAGGGGCGGACTGACAACTTATGGGGCCCCGAGCAATAGGGGATCATGGGGCCCCTGTGTCCTTGCCTAAACTCAAAAAAACCTATGAAAAAGGTACCAGGGGCATCTCATGGGGCCCCCTACTGACGCCGGGCCCTCGGGCAGTGCCCGAGTTTCCAAATGGTCAGTCCGCTCCTGCATGCAGGAAACATATTGCAAAGATCCTTGAAAAACGTACCTTGCTACATTTTGTACTATGTGGTTGAATGATGCCCACTAGTGAAACAATTGTTGATTATTTCATGAAACTATAGAGGAAGAAGCTAATTATGTATGAGAGTCCACAAGTGTATTAAGCTTCATTCAATGTTTTTCTTAGTAATAATATTGAATAGTTCAATATTATAATATATACTGCTCAAAAAAATTAAAGGAACACTTTTTGATCAGAGTATAGCATCAAGTCAATTAACCACCTCCCGCGCGCCATATATTAATATGATGGACACAAGGTGGTTCTCTCGTTCTGGGTGGACGCCATATGACGTACTCCCATTCTAACCACGCATGCTTGGAGCGCGCAGTGCGGCGATCATCGGTGCGCTGTGTCCCTCGGACACAGCGGATCACTGACCCACGGAAAGAGCGGAAGATGCTGGCTCGGTCATGTGATCAGCTGTGTCCAATCACAGCTGATCACATGTAAGCAGGGAAATGCCGGTCATCGGCATTTCTATCCTCTCGAGCTGTCACGCTGACAGCTCGAGAGGAGAGGAGAGACGGTAATCGGCATTCCGCGGAGGGGACATGTACACTGATCATCAGGGCTCTGATGATCAGTGTGACCTGATGATCTGTGTAGCCCCAGCAGTGCCACCTGTCAGTGTCCATCAGTGCCAGCTGTCAGTGCTCAAGAGTGCCAGTGCCCATCAGTGCCACATATCAGTGCCTACCAGTGCACATCAATGCCACATATCAGTGCCCATCTGAGCTGCCTTTCAGTGTCACCCATCAGTGCCAGTCAGTGCCACCTATCAATGCCAATCAGTGCCACCTGTCAGTGCCGCCTATCAGTGCCAGCCAGTCAGTGCCACCTAACAGTGCCAGTCAGTGCCGCCTATCAGTGCCATATATCAGTGCTGCCTTTCAGTGCCCATCAGTGATGCCTGTCAATGCCTCCTCACCAGTGCCCATCAGTGCCACCTATCAGTGTCCATCAGTGCAGCCTATCAGTGCCCATCACTGCAGCCTCATTAGCACACATCAGTGAAGGAGAAAAATCACTTATTTACCAAATTTTGTAACAAAAACTAAGAAAAAACGTTTTTTTTTTTTTTTTCAAAATTTTCTGTGGTTTTTGGTTTGTTTAAGAAAAAATAAAAAACCCAGAGTTGATTAAATACCACCAAAATAAAGCTGTCACAAAAAATTATAAAAATTTCATATGGGTACAGTGTTGCATGACCGAGCAATTGTCATTCAAAGTGCAACAGCGCTGAAATCTGGAAATTGGCCTGGGCAGGAAGGGGGTATAAGTGCCCTGTAGGCTTGTGGTTAAACTCCTGGGATATTGATCTGGTCAGTTAAGTAGCAGAGGGGGTTGTTAATCAGTTTCAACTGCTTTGGTGTTAATGAAATTAACATCCCTAGCGGTCTGATTATGTCCATATTTCTGTGCTGAAATCGGTACATTTTTTTGCATGGATATATGTATTTTTTTTATTGTAGGCCTGTAATTTTTAGGAATAACTCACTGAAATCTGTCCGAACAAGAGTCTAGTAAACATCCCGGGTATGATAAAACTTGAACCACAAAAATCATAAATTATAATTTAATAAATAATCATAAAAATAATAATATAATAATAATAAATTTAATTCAATAATATAATCAAACCAAAAACACTGAAATTTGAAATATAGCGCCAAGTTCGCACATCGCTGAGCAAAGTCGCAAAATCATTTTCAGTGTCTAACGAATTTCCCCACGAATCATTATCACTCAATTCTGCAAGTGGTTCTGATTTACTATCGCTGTTCTCTAGCCAGTCTAAAACTGCTTTTGACCTAAAGGGACGCTTTTTGGATGCCATGGACTTTTCTAAGTTTCCAGGCAGAAAGAACAGTAAAAATGCAGGCAGGCACAGGACAAAGCAGTAGGGACAAAATGTATGTGAAATGGTTTGATACAGTAATGTTTTACTATATCAAATTCATTTCTAAAAAAATGACAGTTTCAAAAAAAATTTTAAATTTACTGCCGTTCCGGCCCCTGTACGTCCCGACGCTCGCAGGGATCGGAACACGGAAGCCAGATGCTGGCATCGGCCGGAGGACATGGCCAGGGATGCGGCAGGGGACACATCGCGGGAGTGAAGGACAAGGTAAGCGCTGCAGGGAATCCCTGAGCAATGCTGCATGGTGAGCCCAAGTGTAGCTCGGGGTTACCGCTTTTGGTACTGAAATTTTACCCCGAGTTACACTCGGGAATACCGCCAGGCAGGTTAACAACAGGTGCACTAGATGGGCAACAATGAGATGATGCCCGAAAAAGGAATGGTTTTACAGATGGAGGCCACTGACATTTTTCTCGTCTTTTCTGACTGTTTTTCAGTAGTTTTGCATTTGGCTAGGGTCAGTGTCACTACTGGTAGCATGATGCAATACCTGGACCCTACAGAGGCTGCACAGGCAGTCCAACTGCTCCAGGATGGCACACCAATACGTGCTATTGCCAGAAGGTTTACCATGTGTCCCAGCAGAGTCTCAAGAGCATGGAGGAGATTCCAGGAGACAGGCAGTTACTCTAGGAGAGCTGAACAGGGCCATAGAAGGTCCTTAACCCATCTATAGAACCAGTATCTGCTCATTTTTGCAAGGAGTAACAGGATGAGCACTGCCAGAGTCCTACAAAATGACCTCCAGCAGGCCACTGGTGTGAATGTCTCTCACCAAACAATCAGAAACAGACTTCATGAGGGTGGCCTGAGGAGCCGACAGGCCCTGTGCTCACTGCCTGGCACCATAGAGCTCAATTGGCATTTGCCATTGTACACTAGAATTTGCAGGTCCACCACTGGCACCCTGTGCTTTTCACAGATGAAAGCAGGTTCACCCTGAGCACATGTGATAGACATGAAAGGGTCTGGAGAAGCCGTGGAGAATATTATGCTGCCTGTAACATCGTTCAGCATGACCATTTTGGTGGTGGGTCAGTGATGGTCTGGGGAGGCATATCCATGGAGGGAAGCACAGACCTCTGTAGGCTAGACAATGGCACCCTGACTGCCATTAGATATCAGGATGAAATCCTTGGACCCATTATCAGACCCTATGCTGGTGCAGTTGTTCCTGGATTCCTCCTGGTGCACGACAATTCCTGGCCTCATGTGGTGAGAGTACGCAGGCAGTTACTGGAGGATGAAGGAATTGATACCATTGAATGGCCCACACGCTCGCCTGACTTAAATCCTATAGAACAATAGGATATCATGTTTTGGTCCGTCTGACGCCGCCAGGTTGCACCTTAGACTGTCCAGGAGCTCTGTGATGCCCTGGTCCAGATCTGGGAGGAAATACCCCAGGACACCATCCATCATCACATTAGGAGTCACATCTATCTGCTCAGATTGGAGGGGAGAACTGAGTGATAAGCAGTGTTTGATTGCTCAGTTCTCACCGCAGAGACGGCAGGGAACAGATGCAGCATCAGATTGATGCTGCGCCCACCTAGGTGAGTATAAATGTTTTTTTTTTTTAAAGTCCACATTTCTCTTTTAAACACTTTAGATCAAAGCTCCAAAGTTTAAATCATTTTAAGCTACATCTGTCCCACTATCCCTTTCAGATATCCCTTTTTCTAGTTTAATGTATAGACTTCTAAAAATATGAATTTAATACTTAACAATTACCGTAATACTTATTAATGATAAAACATGAACCCAAACATGAACTGAATATAATTAACAAAAATTTTATGTTACACTAAATCTTTCATCCAACCTCTAAATTAGTGCAATTGTTTCTTTGGGAAACCAGTATAGAAGTAAAGTATACTTGAAAAAGTCACTTCTTTTTTATTACTTTCTGCATAATAATTCTTTGTTATCCACATGACCCAAGCATGGTCCTTTTTATCATTTCAGAAATGTATGTTAGTTCCAGGACCTTTTTAAAATGTCACTGCATCCACTCTTCTAAGATGCAGTACTTGTTTTAATGGCAACAGGATTTGGGGACTACACACTGGTCTGGCAAGATTTGGTATTGGAGCAGTTGAAAGGCATGATAGCAAGCATCCAACACTGAATCTATTTATTTCCTGGACTACAGAGTGTGGTTAGATGGGAAATCTCAAAAATGTCTTTCTGCCAGCACTAGTATTTCCTGTAAGCTCTGGATACCTACGTTGGAGAAGGGCTGATTCAGCTCTGCCCTTACTACACTGTCTTATTAGATCACTGAAGTAGGATTACTCACTGATTTTACATGAACATCAAACATACAAGCATACATAATTTAATTAAGTCTTTTGTGCTTGTCCATGCAATCTAGACAGGATTGTGTCCTAATGTTACAGTAATAATTAATAATAAACTACAATATGTTATCTACAATGAGCACTTTTGTGAAATTATTGTACTTAGTATGATTTTTTAAAATTATGTTTTTTAGTGGTTCTAAAGGGTGACAGTTTTTACCTTAATGCATTATCGGCATTAAGGTAAAAAACCTTCATTATGCAGTCCCCTCCCCCTTATACTTACCTGAGCCCGATCTCAATCAAGTGATATGCACAAGAGCACAGGTTCTCTCGGCTCTCTCCCTCCTCATTGGCTCAGACACAGCAGAGGGACACATTGGCTCTTGCTACTGTCAATCGCAACTAGTGAGGAGGGAACCAGGGGGCAGGGCCAAGCTGCGCTCTGTGTGTCTATCTGCACACAGACCTGACTCCAGAGCAAGCATGCACAGGTGCCCCCATAGCACGTGGCTTGCTTTGGGGGCATTTGGCAGGGGGGAGGAGCTAGCAGCACTGGCAGGGGACCCTAGAAGAGGAGGATTGGGGCTGCTCTGTGCAAAAAAATTGCACAGAGCAGGCACGTATGAAATGTTTTTTTTTTTTTTTTTAAATGTGAATGTTTTTCAATCCCTTTAATATCTGACTTTGTGATAATTGTGTAAATCTAACACTGGGGGGGAAATCACTATGTTTTTTATAATTTTACATACTCAGTTAAAGATCTTTGTTATAATACAAAACTAATCGCCTACAGGGGCACATTTTCAGAACAAAAAAAAATTTTCATATAAGGGCAAAAACTCTGGGCCTGAAGAAGTCAAGCAAGTGTTCATCTCAGTTTGTATTTTTTTATACAAAACTCTGAGCATAATGTGTTACCACCCTGTACATTGTTCCCGCTACAGTACATAAATACAATTACACATAACTTAGAGCTTTATAAGCATGCCTCCTATTTAGTTAATTCACTCAGGGACCAACAAAATCATATTCCTAAAAGCATCAGATTCCTTGTAGCCCTAAATGGGGTGAAACTGCACTTTATTACGTATCTCTGCTGTTGTCTGCTCACATCAGACAGATCAAAGCTAACTGAATCTCAAATATCAGTTTTCTATGTAATACAGTCTAAACAGTTAATCTCCTAAACTGCAAAGGAAGGAACAAGCTTCAAATGGTTCCATTGATCGCTAACTTATCTGAACATTTTTTGCACCTAGTGCATGAAGGTAGTTTTTTTTGTTGCATTTTTGACTTATCTGATTATTTTCTATTATTCTTTTTTTATTTGGATTTTTGTTTTAACACTTTTGTTTTAACATTTATTATGCTGCTTTGCTTTTGTTTTCTTCTGTGGGATTGCATTAATGTTCTTGGATGTGCTTTTAGAGGGCATGAGAGTTTTTCAAGCAAACCTACCTGATAACCTCCTTCTGAAAATGCTCTCTGACTGGCTGTTATGCTCCTTTCATTACATTCAGTACTACATTCACTGCTCCACAAAAGCCAGGAGCCATATTTATTAGAAAGAGATACAGGGGTTAATCTACAAAACCTAGAGAGTGTAAAATTTGGTGCAACTCTGCATAGAAACCAAACAACTTTCAGATTTTATTGCCAAAGCACAATTGAACAAGCTCTGTATGGCTGTTCTAACAAGACCAGCAATTACCACGAGAATGGTCTTAAAGGGTCTATTACTATTACTTTGTCAGAGTACCTGTACCCTTAAATCGTGTTTCTTTAACCTCTTCACACCGGCGCCTCCCAGCCCTTTAAGGAGTTTCAGACGCTGGGAGGCGGGGTTTTAGGGTCATGTGACTGCTGTGATTCGCTGTCACATGATCGGAAAAGGTCCCAATCACAAGGGGAGATCGGGACCCTTCCGTGAAACACTGACATATGTGCTGAGGGCAAATGCTCTCAGCACATATGTGTTTTCAAATGGTAGGCAAATATGTGGCCGCTCGGCATCAAGGCCCAGCCGCTGAAAGGCCGCATATTTGCATATGGTCGGCGTCAAGACGTAACCCCATCATAGGCCAATGACCAGACCCTAAGATGGAAATGTTGGCCTGCTACATTACTAGGGAGTTATTTCACACCAGGAATGAAGGAAGATAAGAAGGAATGATACATCTGTTATATGCCAGTAATTCAATGTGTTGATGAAAGAGAGTCACCTTGACAGCCATGTTGCACACATCTTAAGAAGGATATCTCAGAAATTTCAGCCTCCTTGTTTGTGTCATGATTTTGTTAAGTAGGCAGTACTTAGATAAACCTAGTCATGGTTGGCTCTAGAAGCAGCAAGCATATGATTCTGTAATGTAATCTTATGCAATTTTTATTTCATAACTCAAGCCAGAGATGGATAAAGGACTAAGAAGGGTCCTGGCAAGGTAGTAGTGGTGCCCCCTTTGAAAATGACTAAAACAGGCACAGAAGATCTGGGTTTTTTTTTATACCGTGCATTAGAGCTGCATAACAGTGCAGTTCCAGCATTTAGGAAGTGTTCATCCAGACAGCAGGTCCATTTTTCCCTTGTCACAGCTACCAAGCACTGGGGCCAACAAATAGCTTTGTTCCACAGTAGGTGGACTTCTAGTTCATGTCTATTCACTCCTTGTAAAATTTAAATCGGAACTTTACTGCATCTGAAAAAACTCTATTTAATTCATTTTTAATATTCAAAGCAAACTCTCGATCCACCCATGTCTCCATTCTGTATTTGATAATAAATCACACCAAACCCCCCCCCCCCCCTAGCATTTCTGGCCATGGCCATCTTGAGTAAGGGCAGATGATTCATGTAGCATTTACTCTCTGGAATCCATCAGCCTTTAGCTTAGGCATGCAGGCAGGAGGGTGTGCTTAGCTAAGAAAAGCCCCTACTCCCCTACTGCAGACATCTGGGAAGTATGACATCATTTGCCTACAGGTGGAAACCAGGAAGTAACTGAAAAAATGTAGAAAAAAGTTTTAAAAAAGTAAAAATAATATACCTTCCTATCAATTTACAAGTGTTAGCAGCATAAGGATTAAAAACAGAGTGACTGAGAGAGTGAAGATCCAATTTAACTCCATGACAAATGTAATTAACAGGCTACAATCACACCTGTTACCTAGCATGATGTTGAAGGTGCCAACACACAAGCACTGGTGAGCATTCTTGATGAATAATAAGTCCCGTAGTTTCACCAAACTTGCATTGGTCAGGGTGTGTTGGGCAATTCCCTCTATAGTTGAGTTCCATGCTATAACTGTAAAACATGGGTGTACTGGTGAAAATGTTGGAGCTTGTGTTACTATTTACTTTAATTTCATACATTATCAGAATGGTACACATTCCTTTTGAGCTTTGTATAGATTATTTTATCAAGAAGGACATTTTTAGAAATCATTGAAACTTACAAATCAATATAAAATAGACTATATTGTCATAAGTATGGGGACACCCCTCCAAACCATTGGATTCAGGTGTTCCAGTCACCTCCATGGCAACAGGTGCATAAAATCAAACACCTAGGCATACAGACTGCTGCTACAAACATTTGTGAAGAATGGGCCGCTTTCAGGAGCTCAGTGAATTCAAGTATGGTACTGTGACAGGTTGCCACATTTGCAATAAGTCCATCTGTGAAATTTTCTTGCTACTAAATATTCCACAGTCAACTGTTAGTGGTGTTATAACAAAGTGGAAGCAACTGGGAACAACAGCAACTCAGCCATGAAGTGTTAGGCCATATAAAATTACAGAGCGGGGTCAGCGCATGCTGAAGTGCACAGTGCGCAGAAGTCACCAACTGTCTGCAGAGTCAACAGCTAAAGACCTCCAAACTTCATGTGGCCTTCAGATTAGCACAACAACAGTGTGTAGAGAACTTCATGGAATGGGTTTCCATGGCTGAGCATCTGCATCCAAGCCTTACGTCACCAAGTTTAATGCAAAGAATCAGATGCAGTGGTGTAAAGCTTTCCACCACTGGACTCTAGAGCAGCGGAGACGTGTTCGTCTGGAGTGACGAATCATGCTTCTCTGTCTAGCAATCTAATGTACGTGGCTGGGTTTGGTGGTTGCCAGGTACTTACCTGACTGCACTGTGCTAAGTGTAAAGTTTGGTGGAGGAGGGATTATGGTGTGTTGTTTTTTTCCAGGGGTTGGGTTTGGCCCCTTAGTTCCAGTGAAGGGAACTCTTAAGATGTCAGCATACCAAGACAAGATTATGGACAATTTCATGCTCTAATTCATCCCAAATGTGTTCTATCGGGTTGAGGTCAGGACTCTGTGCAGGCCAGTCAAGTTCCTCCACCCCAAACTCGCTCATCCATGTCTTTATGGACCTTGCTTTGTACACTGGTGCACAGTCATGTTGGAACAGGAAGGGGACCATCCACAAACTGTTTCCACAAAGTTGAGAGCATGAAATTGTCCAAAATGTCTTGGTATGCTGATGCCTTAAGAGTTCCCTTCACTGAAACTAAGGGGCCAAGCTCAACCCCTGAAAAGCAACCCCACACCATAATCCTCCCTCCACCAAACTTTACACTTGGCACAATGCAGTCAGGCAAGTACCATTCTCCTGGCAACCACCAAACCCAGACATGTCCAACGGATTGCCAGACAGAGAAGCATGTGCTTTACACCACTGCATCTGATGCTTTGCATTGTACTTGGTAATGTATGGCTCGGATGCAGCTGCTCGGCCATGGAAACCCATTCTATGAAGCTCTCTATGCACTGTTGTGCTAATCTGAAGGCCACATGAAGTATGTAGATCCTTAGCTATTGACTCTGCAGACAGTTGGCGACTTCTTCGCACTGTGTGCTTCAGCATGCGCTTGCCCTACTCTGTAATTTTACGTGGCTTACCACTTCATGGCTGAGTTGCTGTTATTCCCAGTTGCTTCCACTTTGTTATAACACCACTAACAGTTGACCGAGGAATATTTAGTAGCAAGGAAATTTCACGGATGGACTTATTGCACATGTGACAATCTATCACGGTACCACGCTTGAATTCACTGAGCTCCTGAGAGTGACCTATTCTTTCACAAATGTTTGTAGAAGCAGTATGCCTAGGTGCTTGATTTTATACACCTGTAGCCATGGAGGTGATTGGAACACCTGAATCCAATGATTTGGAGGGTGTCACAATACTTTTGACAATATAGTGTATGTTGCAGCTTACCAATCTCTAGATGCGATGGCTGCATTCGTTTTCTTTTTTTCTAGGTTTTTCCCCTGTTGATCTGGCCAGTAACACACTCCCTGTATTAGAATAACTACACTGTGGATAAAGGAGCACAGGGGCACCTTTAGACAGCAGCATTGTCAATCTGGGGGAAGGGAATGTTAGACACACTAACAGATTTAAATACACTAACCTATAGAATCCAAACACCAGCTAATACTTTATAATCACTAAGAGTTTTTTTCCTTTAGGGATAAAGGTTTTATATAAATAAATTAAAAAGCTAATCATTGTACGCACCCGTCAGTGGTTAATAGTTTCTCTCAACCCTCTAAGTACTACATCTGCAGGACTTACCTGAAAAACAACAGACATACTGGCAGGATCAACAGGTGAAAATATAAGAGAGAAAGCCAAAAAAAAGATGGCAAGTACAGCCATCACATCAAAGAATTGGTAAGCTGCGATATAATAAATGCTTGATTTTGGGATTAATACTGCTTTAATTCCTCATACAGCTGGTCCCTGTCCATTCTGACTAGCTCCTTCTCTCTTTGTCATGGTGGCGTGTTGATGCACAGCATGTGTGACCTAGAGAAATTACATTTATTTATTACAGATACTTATATAACACCATCAATTTATGTAGTGCTTTACATATATATTGTACATTCACATCAGTCCCTAACCCTCATGGGGCGTATAATCTAAAGTCCCTAACTTACATTCATACATATACAGTACATACTAGTGCCAGTTTAGACAGGATCCAATTAGCCTACCAGCATGAGTGTGAGAGGAAGCTAAAGAACCTGGGGGAAGCCCATGCAGGCACAGGAAGAGCATGCACTGTATAGGAAGGTGGTGCCATAGTTGGGATTCGAACCAACGAGCCTAGTACTGCCAGGTGGAAATGCCAACCATTTAGCCACTGAGGTGCCCCATCACATACATTGTGTTTTGTTTACATCTCCAGGATAGGAACTACGCAGTTTATAAGATTTCAGTAGTAACCAGCCAACAGGATCAAATTTCCAGCATTGCTGGGTCAATTCCAGCAAGTTCCCAGGTACGTCTACTGGTAAAACCAACTAAGCACACATGATCACCAACAATTATGATGCCTTGTTGTATAAAAAAAATTTTTTTCTGGCAGATTGTATTACTTTATACAAAACCAGACCTTTAAAGTACCATCACTAGTTCATTATACCAATGTTCTTGATAAAAGAAATGACAATAAAGCCATATGTAATATATGCCTTTCCCCATGGCTAATAACTCAGAGCAGTTATGGTCCCATTTTCTCCCAATTATAATCATTCAGCTAAGACATAAAATCATTGGAGCTTCACTAAGCCTGTACCTGTGTAATGCGTTTAACAGAAATTAACCTGGTTATATCCTCACTCTGTTGAAAATGAGAAAGTAAAACTCAGTAAAATCAATCTCCTTACATCCAAATTACTTCTGGGGTGGATTTGAATTTCATATAAATGGTTAGGCCCTCAGATAATTTCTTTAAATGCAGGGCCTTGATCGGACAGCTGGGATAATTTGGCATTTTGTGCTCACTGATGGAATGAGTAAGACGATCATATCATTTAGCATACACACCTCAGCCACATGCCATTATCAGCTTGGCCGATTGATGGAAGCTTGTTGTCTTCATAGTAAGCTACACAAAAAAAAGAATCCGTAAAAATCAAAAGAGAGAAGAAAGAAAGAATCTCATTTACATGAATACATGTACATTTACTATAACACGTTGTAATAGTGCTGAAGCATTACATCATAAGGCATTAATTTAGAGGCAGACTCCCCAGGCACTGGGCATGTCAGGTAGTAAGCTGTAACACATTTAATACACTTCCTGCCTTGCACTAGTGTGAGGGGAAATCTCTCCCCTTAAAGAGATAGGGATGAATTATTCTTGTATTTCAGCCTGGGTTCACATATATGTGGTGCGGTATATCGCACATGATTCGCACAGGTACCACACCGCATTCCTGTGCAAAAATTTGTGTGTGCTGCGATTGGAGTCATACATTTTGTATGGCTCTAATCGCACCGCACCCACACCAATAAGGTGCAGGACCCTTTTTTGGGTCCGCACTAGAATCAGATCGCATGGGTATTCACAACTATGTGATCTGATTCTACACATCGCACTGCGTTTTGTGGACCGCTTTTGGGGTGTTGTTAACTTAATATACACACACCCGCAGCGGTTTGCATGAATGGGGTACGATTCTAATGCGGTGCAGAATTCGCACAGAAAACGCTGAGAATTCCGCACCACATCAGTGTGAACCAGGGCTCAGGGTTCCTGCCAGGAGCTGGAGGTCTCATGGTCTGTGAAATGATGACTTCTCCTGATGCTGTTTCCTAGACACTAAGAATATTATGAAAAATAGAGTTTATTGATAGGGTGCCACCAACTGCTGGTGTCCTAACAGTCCCTAATATATCCCTGCCTGGCCATTCAGCTCTCAGCAGGGGATTCCTGGTAGACTGGTGACTGTGGACAGTAAGGGGGACCCCACAAACAATAAAAATCAAAATCCATACCAGACCCTTATCTGACCAGGCCAGGAAAGGGGGTAGGGGAACAGTCATCCCCTCCCCTCCCCCAAACCATACAAAGTCACAAGCCCTCAACATGTGAAAAGATACCTTTAAAGGGGGACCCCCTGCAAAGTACTTTGTTGGTGAGGACAATGGCCTCTTCCTCAAAACTCTTGCTTGATGGTTTTGAAGGAATGTGGGCAGGAGGCTTATTGGAATCTGGAAGTTCCCTGTAAAAATAAAGGGTCCCTAGATACCGCCCTCCCTTCATGAATGAGTAAGGGGTATGTATTGTTTCTACCCCTACATATTCACAAAAAAATGTAAATAGTAAATAATGACAGAGATTCTGACAAGACCTTCTTTAAAAATAAAAATAAAAAAAAACACAAGAACGTGATTGCAATCACCACCATTGTATCAAAATCTTTCCCCCACTTGTTGAAATATTAGCAACAAACACCACAGGGCTCTGTAAAGAGGGAACAATCTCTTTGTTCCTGCTCCCTGCAAATCAGGGAGGAGGAACATATAGATTTTTAGTAAAAAGCAGCACACATTACACGCATTAGCACTTGTTAGGCACATACTTACCGCCTTGATTACCCCAAAATGTTAACTACTTACTAGCCAGTGTCATTAGTACAGTGACAGTCTATAGTATTATCACTGACTGAATTAGTGTCACTGGTGATGTCAGTGTCAGTACCCACCCAGTGTCGGTTAGTGTCAGATTGCCCACTGCACTATCACAGTCCCACTATAAGTTGCTAATCACTGCCATTACTAGTATAAAATAAAAATAAATAAAAATTCCAGCATATACACCATAGTTTCTAGATGCTATACATTTCACACATACCAATACACAATATTCAATATACAGTTATTGGGATCTTTTTTGTACCAAACACATGTAGCAGAATACATTTTGCCTACAATTATGAAGAAATTTTATTTTTTTTATTGGATATGTTTTTATAGCAGAAAGTAAAAAAATATAGTTTTTTTTCATTCTCTGTCTTTTTTCATTTATATCTCAAAAAATAAAACACCCAGTGGTGATCAAATACCACCATAAGAAAGCTCTGTTTGAAAAAAAAAAAAATGACATAAGTTTAATTTGGGTGCAGCACTGCATGACTGCGCAATTGCCAGTCAAATTAGCACAGTACAGGACAACAAAAAATGGCTTGGTTATGAAGGGGGTAAAACCTCCCAGAGCTGTGGTTAATCACAAAATCCAGCGAAGTAGATCCAAGTCATTGTGAAAGATGCACACTGACCTGTTAGACCCCTATGATATCAACCGAATCAAGTCATATCCATAGTCGGTCGATTACATCACTCGGGAGACCCAGCCCTTTTGTTTACATTCCACAATGGGGACTGGGAGCTGTTATTTGCAGCCAGCAGACGTTGGGAACAAACCGTGTCAGTGGTTGGCATGTTTTCTGTTTTGGCAGATCGGCAAACATCATTCCTCATGACTGACATGGATCTGCATCTCTGGACAACATGATTTACAATGGATGTACATAATTTATTTATTTTATTTTCATTTTTAAAGGGTGTCCCTTGATATACATATTACACACCGTCATCAAGGATAAAGGTATGTATTTTTAGGATCAACCTGACCCTTTTCTAGGATAATGGTCTAGGATATATGAAGGGAATCCCCAGTCCAATGGTTACAAACAGAAAGAAGCAACTGGGAGCTGTCATTTACTGACAATTTAAACAGCATTTTTTGCTTTATAAATGTCTTTTCTCTTGTAATAGTTTCTATACATCGTACGTTATTTAACAAATTTGCCTCTCACACCTGTTCACCCCCTATGGACCAGAGCAATATTTACAAATCTGCAGTTTAGTTGGCAATAACTTTGTCCTTAAAAAGCAACATATATATTACCTTGTTATTTTTCATGACTAACAAGTCATTTTGTGATTATTGTCTTTCAACAGCATCTTTTTCACACAATCGTTAGACAATTAAAAGTAACACAACTAAACAAAACACACTTTTTTTCTTTATTTTTGAGCAGTGTTAGTTTAAAAATAGATAGTGTTGTTGCAGATAAAAAGTGCACATTTTATTCTGTAATTTGTCCTGTTTAAAATTACACTAAAATTACAATTCTGGTACAAAGCATTGCAAAGTTATTTACAACTGAAATAAAGTGTTTTTTTTAAATATGCATTTTTTTAACAGTAAACATGAAAAGATATGTTAAATATACAAAAACATTAATAACAAAAGACACCAAAAAAGTTTAAACAATAGTTAATATAACAGAAATGAACAAAATAAA